CCACCACTGCCAGGCGGCAATGGGCATTCTTGATGGTAAGAACATAGATGTTACTTAGTTCCTCTTCTGCACTTGCCCCTATTAATTATTTTCGTATAAAACGTGTTTCATTTTTATCAAGAAGGCCAAAATCAATTAGTTCTTTTAGAAAGCGGGTTAACATGGCAGATAAATACCTGTTAACTCTGGAACCAGACTGTCTTTAAAGATATTGCCATTTAAAGATATGGCCATTGCTATCTTTAAAGATATGTTTCTTGTTTCAATTGAGACTGAATCTGAGATTTTAATTCCACCTTGGTATTTATTTCCTTTCTGAAAAAATTTTGAGCTACTTTATAGAATGCATTTTCAGGAATATAGCACTAAATAATGAACTAAATTTTGTTTTGTTTAATGTAAAATGGCATTTGTTAATTAAAAATAACAGGCAATTGTAGGGAGCCGCGGCAGGTGCTGGCAAAGTCCGCCATCGCTAGGTGGCGCTATCAGCCATAATTCTTCCTAGTAAACAAGTAAATTGTGCATGTGCCATGGTAAAAGCCCGCCAAAGTTAAAGCCCATCCCACGGCGTTTGGCGCGCAACGAGTAAGCAGCCAATCAGAGGTGAATACCCCGCTCTAGGATATATAGCAGTTCTTTTCCAGGCCTGGTCATCTTCATGGTCTCCTCCATCTTCTTTTTCCACCATCTTTGGGTTTTTGGGAATAAACGTGTTTCTACGGAAGGATTCTGGTGTGTGTGTGTGTGTGTGCGTGCGCGCGCGTTCCTGCCGGCGAGACGACTACACGCTCGCCACACAGGCAATTTTCAACTTAATGTTTTCTTTTGCCTCTTTTTTCCTTCCTCCTTTTGTCCTTCCCTCCCTCCTTTCTTTCTTAGACAGGGTCTCCATGTACCTCAGGCTGTCTGCAAACTTAACTTGCATTATTTATTTTTCTCACTAACAAAAACAACTCAAAGGAAGAGTTTCTTTTACTCCCATTTTGAGACTACAGTCCGTCACGAAAGAGAAGACATGGAGGCTGCAGCAGCATGACAAGTAGGATGATCAAGTGGCATCCTTCGTTAGGAAACAGGCAGGGACTAACTAGCTCGTGCTTGGCTTATTTTCTCTATTTTTCCCTTTGTATGGAATCAGGTGATCCTGGAAGGGTGTGAACTTGGAGAAAATCTTCACCATCAGTTAAATCTGTTTAGAAACGTCCTTACAGACAAACCCAGAAGTTTGTTGTCTAGATGGTTGTAAATCCTGTCAAAGTGTAATTGGCAGGAATCATCTTCCTGAAACTCCAGGGATGTGACATCACCTCTAGCAGCAACAAAAGTCAGTCAACTTTCTTCTTATTCAAGCAAGAAGAACTGCAAACAGGCCTGAGCAGGAACATTAATTTTAAAATTAATAGAAGGCTCCTCATTTTTATGAGCATCTATATGCATCATAATAAATAGTAAGAACTTTCAAATGGAACTTCGAGGAAATTCATTGTGCCCTGTCTAGTGGCTATACCCTGCCACCTTTCCACAATCTTTTCCCCTTGAAATCTTCCTTCTTATAAATCTGATTTTAAATTTTGTTCAGCTTTGGTTTAGTACTGATAAAAAAAAATTGGTTCTAACATCCTTGGGTTCTTTATATCTCCAAGCCATTTCATAAAGAAGTTCAGTTTGAAAGTTAGACAATAAAAATAACTAAGCAATAGATAATTTAGAGACTTTAAGTGTTCTGAGAAACTATAAAAGCATACAATGCTGAGAATTGTGTGCAGTGTTTGGAAAGAGATAGCTATGGAGACTCATGTATTTTCAAGGATCCATCCAATACTGAATATACTTGGTAGTAATAATTTGTTTTCTGTGTAGTAACTTTGACATGTCATAGATAGGGAACACAGATCTAGAGGAAGAACGAACTCAGATCTTCAGGAAATGGTTTTAGAGAGGCAATGAGGACGAGGCTACAGAAGAGGCCGTACTGAGTCGGGGACACTGGGTTGTAGCTCTGAGAACCCAGGAGTTAGTACTCATAAGGCAGACAAGTCTCAATATGGAGTTTAGTGAGAAAGGGGTAAAAGTCCTTTTGAAAGCTAGTAGAGGCAAATGAACAGCTGAAAGAACATGCTCTTCAGTAGTTCGTAGACTGAAGTTTATAATGTTGATCTCTGTAGCCAGATATTTTCTTTGATCCTATACTTAAGAAGAGTTGTTAATTGAAAAAAAATCTGCTGTTTCTTAAGCTAGTATATTTTCGAGAGTCTAGTATCTATGCCGGAATCTTTTACTATTGCATTAAAATACCCTGTATTTGCAGGTATATGATGGATTAAATTAATGACTTCCTTATTCTTAAGTGCTAGTTGTCATACTGATAAAAATCATCATGCACAAGGCATGCTTAATTAACCGTAATTATTCATGGATCATTTAAGATTATTTGCAGACAAAACTACTAATCTTGTCTTCAGATAAGTGGTTTTGTTGTAATTTTCTTTTTTTCTTTCATTTTTTTCTTTCCTTTTGAGTCAGGGTTCCATGTATCCAAGCTTTCCTTTAACTAGCTATATACCTGAAGATGATGGCAAACTCCCCATTTTCCTTACTGTATCTCCTGAGTGCTGGGGTCACATGTGTGTGTCACCACACCTATTTTTATGGTGCACGATAGACAAGGAGTCAATAAAATGGGCTACATACTCAGCCACTCTGTTACAGCAATTTCAAGGTATGTTTACTTATTTTGATAAAGGGGAAAGCAAGCAAGGGAAAAAAACCCAAAAAACATGAGCCAAATTCAAGAGATCTAAACGTGGTGTCAGGAAAATCATGTAATATTTCTGACCTTCCATTACCTTATGTTCCAAACAAGGGAATTTGATTAGAATACAATGATCTCGAAACTACTTCTGTTGGAAATATTCAGAGGCTGCATCTTTCTTAATGGAACAAGTATCAGAAAAGATTCCCTCAGTTACAAAATCTTTGGAGAGGAATTTCCACTACCACATCTCTGTCTCTTCAAACTACAGCAAAATATGATGGAATGTTTAAGAACCTTTTTTTCTTTCTGTCTTCTCTCTCCAACACTAGCCCATTTTAACCCCTGTGCACTTGGCTGCCATGAGTTCAAGCACCTAAGTCCTTTCTCCTGTTGTAGCGAGTGTCCTGGGAAACAGAAAGAGTAAGAAAGGAGACTGAAATGGATTTAGGTACCTCTGCCTGTCTCTTTGCGTTGGCTTGGACTACTGCGTGTTCCAAAGCACATCGGTATTATACTCATGCTAACCGTGTAAACTGCTTTATATCTTTCCCCTTGATTTTCACATCCAAACTAGAATTGGGTCAGCTAAATTTTAAGGATTATCTTCCCAGAAACTTTCTCAGCGGTCCTTTCATGTTCCAAGATTCTCATGAGGATGTGCTCTTATTCTTTTCCCACTCAGAAGTTTACCAGGTTCATTAAGAATGGTTTGCTGTGTTTACTTCCCAACTCCACACAGAAGTTCTGAATTCTGAGGTAAGCATAGAAAGATTGCTAATAAGTAGAATGTGGCTGTCAAGAAAATAAAATTGTCGTCTTTCTTTCTTTCTTTCTTTTTTCTTTTTTTTTTTTTTTTTTTTTT